CTCCGGCGATCCTTCCACCTCAGCCTTCCAAGTAGCTGGAACTACAGGCGCACACTACCGCACCCGGCTAACTAATTATTTATTTATTGTAGAGGTCTCGCCAAGTTGCCCGGGCTGATCTCGAACCTGCAGGCTCAGGTAATCCATTCGCCTCTGCCTCCCAAAGTGCTGGGACTACAGGCTGAGCCACCGAGCCTTGCCAAGAAACAATACTTTCAGGATTTTAAAATGTTTTAACATGAAAAGAAATCCAGTCGTTCAAGTTCGGCCTGCAGGCCAGCAGCCTGATTTTGTAAAGTTTTAATGGCACCAGGACTGGTATCAGGTGAGGCAAGAAAGTTCAAGTCATGCAAGCACAGAGTTCGATACTCGATTTAAAATCTTGTTTTGTGTGCCATGAATTTTTATTACATTCACTTTGATTTTTTAAAAATGATTGCATTGAAATATGATGTATCTTGGTCACTAGCTTTTTGGGTGTCTTTTTAAAAATTCTGCACCCGAGGTGTTACCCTAGTTCCAGCCCTGACTTTAAGAGGAAACGAAGGCACAGCGAGGGGAAGCGATTTGCTCGGGAGCACACCGCAGAAACAGTGGTGGAGCTGGGCTTTGAACCTGGACAGACTAGCTCTGTCTAGACTTCCACCTGTTGGGCTCTTACTAGCCATGCCAGGCCCTGTCTGAGCTCTCTGCTCCAGGACGTGGGGGAGGGGGAAGGTCAGCTATTGGGCAGGCCAGTCAATAAATTTATTACAAAACCTAGGGAATGAAGGTGGGTAGGGGGAGCTGAGTTGGTTATATCTGGGGTACATCTAGGGTCCCTTTCCCTGAGGAGATGGCAGCAGTCAGGGCTGCCCGGAGTTCCTCGGGGGCAAAGACCCCCAGCTCTGTGATGATGCCCCCGGTGATGAGGTCGTGGGGGGTGACGTCGAAGGCAGGATTCCAAACTCCAATCCCTGCAGGGGGGACAGGGAGGCAGGGGTTCGATTCTGAATGTTCTTGTTATTTCTTGGAAAATTTTTCTCCTGTAGAGACGGGGTGTCGCTATGTCGCCCTGGCTGGTCTCGAACTCCTGGCCTCAAGCAATCCTCCCACCTAGGCCTGCCAAAGTGCTGGGATGACAGGCGTGAGCCACTGTACCTGGCCTTGATTCTGAAAGTTCTTAAAAACTCTTGTCACCTGTCTCCACCACAGTGGTTCTTGGGACTGGGGAGTCCTCGAGAATCTGAAGATCCTTACCCCAAAAGTACAGGAAGGCACGGAGCAAGTACCCAGTAGAAAGATCAGACCCCTGTCATAACCAGACTGTCACTGCCCGGGAGGAATTCCAAGCCTGACTTCCACCTGTTCCAGGATCCCTAAGAACCTCAGAGGCTACCTCATGGCCTTTGCACGGGCTGCCCTGACGGCTGGATGCTGTTCCCCAGCTATGCACATGACTCACTGCTGCATTCCTTCTCAGCCTGACCTTCCCTGTCCTGCCATCCCTCTGTCTACATCTCCCTGTACAGACATGTCCCATGCCCTTCCTTGCTTCCTTTTATTCCTCCTTCGGTCCCTTCTAACACACTGTCACTTGCCTTGTTTTCTGTCTCCCCCACTGGACTGTCACCTCCCTGTGGGCAGGGACTCCTGTGTCTTTTTTCTTTTTGAGTCAGAGTCTCACTGTTGCCCAGGCTGGCTAGAGTGCAGTGGCCTCTCCCGGCCACCGCAGCCTCGACCTGCTGGGCTCTGGCGATCCTTCTGCCTCAGCCTTCCAAGTAGCTGGAACCACAGGCACATGCCACCATGCCTGGCTAGTTTTTAAAATTTATTGTAGAGATGAGGTCTCGCCATGTTGTCCAGGCTGGTCTTGAACCCCTGGGCCCAGGCAATCCTCTCGCCTCTGCCCCCAGTGTCTTTTTTTTTGCTGTCTCCCCAGGACCCTGCATGGTAGCCGGCACAAGCAGACACCCAAAAACCTTTGCTGGACAGCTACGGTGGCTGACACTTGTAACCCCAGTATTTTAGAAGGCAGAGGGCGGAGGATCCCTTGAGGCCAGGAGTTTGAGGCTAGCCTGGGCAACACAGCAATACCCTGAATCTACAAAAAATTAGCTGAGTGTGGTAGCATGAGCCTGTAGTCCCAGCTACTCAAGAGGCTAAGGAAAGAGGATAGCTTGAGCCCAGAAGGTTGAGGCTGTGGTGAGCCATGATGCCACTGCACTCCAGCCTGAGCGACAGAGTGAGACTCCAACTCAAAAAAAAAAAAGTGACTTGGAGGAGTTGTGCATGCCACAGAAGGCTGACAGGGTCCTACATTTGCCACCTGGCCGGGGTGCCGGGGTCCCCTCTCTCAGGGCAGCTCACCTGGCGCGGCAATCCTGACTCCGTTGACGTCCGTCAGCTCCTGGCTGGGGCGTTCCTCCACGACAATCTCCTGGCCGCTCTCCAGGTGGAGGTCACAGGACGTGCTGGGGGCGGCCACATAGAAGGGGATGCCGTGGTGCTTGGCAGCGATGGCCAGCTGGTAGGTGCCCACCTTGTTGGCTGTGTCACCGTTGGCAACCACGCGGTCAGCTCCCACCACCACGGCTGGGAGCACGGGGGAAGTCAGGGGTCATGACACGGCCCTCCCCTCCAGATCCCCCCCCATCCTGCGCGCACACAGCCCCCTGACCTGACACGCCCCTGTGGGCCATGGCGGCGGCCACCGCGCTGTCGGCTATGAGGGTGGCAGGGATGTGCTCGTACACCAGCTCGAAGGCCGTCAGCCGGGCGCCCTGGTTG